CCAAAACCCCAAAACCCCAAAACCCCAAAACCCCAAAACCCCAAAGTTGTACTATTTAGTTGAATTTCATAATTTTTTATAATAGGCCTTTAAAAGAAAAGCTATCCTATTAAATTGAAGCAAAGAAATCTTGCCCTTTATAAATTTCTTTAAAGATTTCCTCTGCTTTATCACTATTCTTTTGCAATAGCTGCATATCTTCAACTGAGATCGGATCCATCTGAACATAATCTGGATCTTCAAATTCTTTACTAATCGTACGAAGGATAAAGTAATATTTTGCGTAATCAGCTCCTCTGACCATCAAATCGTAATCAATCAAGTCGAGAAATAGCTTCTCAAGGTTATTGATTTCCTTTAGAGACACATCTGGCATTGCCTTAGGAAAGTGTATATTCTCTAAACTTTCGTCATCCCAGATTTTTGATGCAACGGTGAGAGATATCAACATAAGTTTTCTCCAGTTCCAATGATTAATGAGAATTCCTGTCTTGGATCATAATCTTTCCAAATAAGCAAGAGAGACTAAGGGTATCTCTTTTTCCATTCTTGAAGAGAGGACAATATATTTACAGTAATAATAGATTTCTTCGTGAGAAGGTTTTTCATTGGAATACATCTCTTTCAAAGCAAGTGATGAATTAGGCATTGAAAGATCCATCATGCTCTCAGTATCAAAACTATAATTCTGATGGCACTTTAGTAGTTGATTTTCAAGGTTATTTTTCAGCCCTTTTTCTGTCATCTCATTTAATATTTTATAGCCTTCAGAGAAGTCTTTGCTTTCTATGCTTGTTTAAAACAATTAGCATACCTTCATTCTCCTTAAAATCGTCAATTGTAAAATGCCCAGTTTCTATCAACTCCTTTCATTTCATGAGACATTCTATACTTTCTTTTTCTGAAGCTTCATTTTCTCTCTCTTGATGGGCTTGTGCTATTTGCTCAGGAGAGAGTAAAGCTTTCTGCTTTTTCCGTTTATTTAAAGATTCAGATGGCTCAAAACCAACATTTCTAACATCTATTTCTTCATACCGTTCGATATCGTTTTGATCATCGCTTAGATCGGCTGGCTTTATATCAGAATGTGAGTCAGTATTTCCTTCTTCGCTTTTGATAATTTCCATAGGGATTCTCGAAGTTGCATTTTTACAAGTTACCCCTGTGTTGGAGTACTGTAGAGAAGACTCGAATGCACTACTTACTGCACAGTTAACATTCCCTTTGCCTTCTCATACAGTGAGGAAAGATGAAATTAAAGTATCTCCATTCTTCTCATTATGAGTTTTGAAAGACTCAGATTTCTCATATGTTTGAATTATTTCTGATGATGCCTTTTGTTTATCCATTTTTGCATTTCTTGCAATAGTTTTCGTATTTTCTAAAATCGATATTTTACAAGAAAATTATTTAAGAGTTTCGAATATTATACAAGCTCAATTATTGTCTCTTTGAAACTTATGTTTAAAGTGTATATAAAAGCATATAAATTTTACCCTTTTCATTAGGAATAGTTTCCAGAAATTCAGAATCTTGGATAGTGAGATTCATTTTTGCAAGTTCTTCAATACTTCTTTTATCCTTTGGACGGTCATTGACTCCTAAAATTTTAATATATTGATCAAGCTTGGATTCTAAATTTACCTTCCTTATTTTTAAGTTTATTCAAGACATTCTTTCTTGCTTGGCTAAGATCTATCTTCATATTCTTTAAATCATAAGTAAACTGCATCCTTTCTTTCTGAAATGTAGCAGATTTGGTTTTATCTGTTAAAAAGAGATATCCCTTAGAGAATTCAATGTGTTTGGAAATAGCTTTGGCATATCATTTCAAAAGCATTCGTAAGTCTATGAACCCCATTGCTTCTGTTAATTTATTTTGAATCTAAGCTTTGTCCAAGATTAATTAATTTTTCCTGAGTGGTTTCATCAAGCATTGGGGATCCATCTTCAGAACTCTCTTGTTTTTCTAAAGATTATTCAAAGAATACCTTCTTCTAAGCTATTGGAGAACTGTAAATCTTCGTTTCATTTACTATGAGAAGGCTCTTCTGTACTTTCAATTTCTTTTCTAATCTTATCTATGTCAATCATGGCTTGTTTTAACTCTTTGCTTAGCATCTTATTCTCTCCATATCCAATGCAAGCCTCCAACTGGTCTCCTTGAATCTTATACTTAGGCTGGCCTTCTTCTCCTTTTGAATATTTTTGTAATAATTCTTGAACCTATAAAATTTGAAATGCATATTTCTGACCAGGAAAGGTAGAGTTCAAACTTACTTTAGAATCGACATCGATTCTGCTAGACTGGTCATTTGCATTTGTGATATCTTCCAATTCCTCATACTCAAAAGCATCAGGAGGGAATATTTTATTTCGACAGATTTTTGAGATCTTTGTTCTGAGATTCTGATATTCCAAGGTATGACTTTAAAATATTCTGAAGGCCAATCTTAGTATTCCCGTTATTTTTCATATTTTTAGAAGCAATTGAGTCAACCTTCAGCTTCGAATTATTTATTATTCTGAAGATGTTGGATGAAGTGGTTGTTAATTCTTTCTTTGAATGAAAAATTCAGATTAGTAAATTTATTATTCATAGAGTTTAGCAACTTCTCCTTCATGTTTATCTTTCTATCAACGCTTTTGGCTACCTTTAGTTCTGCTTTTTTATTTTCAGTAATCATATTTAATTATATATTCTATTTCATTTTCTTATTTTTTTAGAGGGGTTTTGGGGTTTTGGGGTTTTGGGGTTTTGGGG